CACAGGCGTCCTACTTCAAACGTCCTCTGGGAGTTGCCGTCCTAAACATCGGTGAAATGCTGACCTCGAACAGTGGCGGCGGTGACGAGCGGGAGTTCACATTCCGCGTGTTTCAGGCGGACGAGAAAGACTTCTGTCAGTTACACGATACGCTGATCCGGAAACAGAACAGCAAGTACAGCCCGCTGTCCAGCCACCCTAAYTACGGTATCGTCATATCGCTGCGGATGCTTGACGGCGACCTGCGACAGGTGCGCGAGGAGAACCCGCTGGCGTTCAAAAATGTATCGACCACGAAGAAGATGGGTTTTCCGGACGTGATAATGCCGGGGCACGTGAGGAATGACCTGTACCTGACCCTGGAGAGAGGCGAGTTCGAGAAGGGTGGCAAGTCGACCGGCAAGAACATTGAAGTATCCATTGTCGTCCTCGACTACGAGGGCAACGTGGTCCCGGACTGCATATGGGGCGCGTCGGGAACGGACTCGTCCGCCGAATACCGTTCGATGATCATCTACCACCATAATGCCCCGTGCTGGATGGAGACCATCCGGCTGGCCGTACCCATCGAGAAGTACAATATCGCGCACATACGTTTCGAGTACAGGCACTGTTCTAGTAAGTTGTCGCGCGCCACGATGCACGTTTTAATCGTTTAAAAATAATCTAAACATAATCATATATCATGATGATTACTACTTACTAGTCTGTTGTCGCCAATTMTCTGGCCACTGGCTGTTGGAAAATTATCACCTCGTCAAGCGAAACCGCTCATATAATTAAGAGATACATGATCAATAAATCAATAATTTAGTATATTTTAGTAGTCACTTTATTTTGAAATAAAAAAAAAATTAAGACTATTATACCTACTGAGAAATATCAGATAAAATGTAATTTATATAATGTAATACCTACTACCTATTATAATTATTATTTATTTATAAATGATGCCGATCATTTAAAATAATATAATTTAAAAAATGTACACATATTATAATATATTATTACAATTTTGACAGATATTTCTTAGTAATATATAGGGCTACAATTTTATAATATTATTATACTTCATATTTAATTCAATACAAGGTATAAAAAATAGTAAGTAGGTACCTACTAAATGATCGATTTATTGATCATGTTCAGCGTAACTCTTGATTGATTGTACTATGTACGAGCTTAATAATTGKATATAATTTATTATAGTTTTCAACTGAAAAATAAATAGCTACCTAAAAATTGATTGATTAAAATTTGTAAGCATTACACATCAGCATTTAAAACTAAYCTGCTTTAATAGATTAATTTAGTCAATATTATTACAATTAGTTATKTTACAGTCAATGGGGCATGGGCTAAGGATTAAGTCCAAGATTGGTATGCCGTAAAGCCTCAATAGGTGTGCTGTGAARTATCCTGATTTATATGATTATTTATAATTTCGAKGTAAAATTAAAATATTTTTAACGATATGAGAGTGTGCTTGTCACCTATTCGACTTCATWGAAAACTTAAAATAAAGAGAAGCCAGTCCCAAATTTATCACTAGGACTAAATTTGTTTATCCAACATAAACATAACATAATCGTAATGCAATATCTCTGTTTTTTCCATATCAATAAATATTTTCGTATATTTTGATAAATTAAAATTTGATTTTACATGAATTTTTCTAACCTAAATAAACACACTATTTTAAATTATTTTCTAGTAATTTACTGATATGCAACTTTTTGTATTAATATATGATGAAAGMATGAACCTCCTAATGCACTAATATTAATATATATATAATATATGTATATATTTATTAAACATATATAAGCCAATTTCAACTTTCAAGTGTGCTACGACTAAATACAAGTTAGGACTTAAGACGAGTGTGTCGTGAGGGAAAAAGGTTGGGAAACACTGGACTAATATGATGTTAAAATAAATACAATTTTACGTAACGTTAATTTATTATTAATCATAGGTATTCCATTTCCATAGTTAAAAGTGCAATCATTGTCCTTGATTAATTTTACTTAGTTTTACTTTTATTAATGTTTTTCATTATTATTTATTATTATACTTTACTGGCCCATAATATTATAAAGGAATTCAAAAATTCAAATAATGTAAATTTATTGAAATTTGAGGTTTTTATATTAATGATTTAATGTTTAAAAATGTTAATCATGAAAATTTCTTTCCTTGTCGTATACCTATGGGCTATATTATGATGCTATGCATTATATTTAAACTGTACAGATTGCTATACATATAATACATATAACTTATCACGTCGATTTGGCGTTTATGTTAACAGCTCGTGACAAAGCGGATAATAAGAAACTTTTTGGCATATCATTTGCTCGGCTGATGGAACCCGAAGAGGCTACCCTACAAGACGGCGTACACGAATTGTTTGTCTACCGCTGCGACGAGCGCACGAAACCTCATCCGGTCGATTACTTGGGTCTRGCTGCCAGCGTACACGAATCGTCTACTTGGACCAGTTCACCAGAACCGGGTTCTGTGTTCTCGTGCAGCCATAAAGAGATAATGACGATTCGCACGATGTTGTGTTCGACAAAATTGACTCAAAACGGTACCTATAAGCATTATTTTATTTCTAGGTACACGGACATCAAGCCCTTTTCCCTTTATATAAATGACAATAAATGACTGATTGTTTCATCTAGCCTATTGCAGCYTATAGTTAAAAGCGCGTCAGAAAAATTCGAAACTGCATATTACAAATCCCGAATCCGTGTTGCGCACACAAATATAGAGACTGGTTAGGCTTAGTCACAACGTGTTATTCGAATATATCCGTTTAGACGATGTCRTAAATCGAAATATTTCATCGGTTTTTGTTTTGCTTCATAAATAAACGAYATGTATTGCAATGTTTGTGTTTTCAGTTGACTTGTTGTCATTGTTGCAATGGAAAGAACATCCTCATCGGATTCAAGAAGCCCTTACGCGAGCTTTACGTCTGGATGGAGAAGAACTTGTAAAGTTCTTACAAGACATATTAGACGCTCTCTTCTCAATGTTTTCCACTGACGATGGTAATTCAACCATCCACTCAGGACTTGTATTTCACGTTCTAGTCAGCATTTTTAGTTTACTCTATGACAGCAAATTTGAACACTTTAAGCCAGTAATGAACGCTTACATCAAAGAACATTTTGCTGCGGCTTTAGTATACAAGTAAATTGTCTTATTATACAATAAATGTCAATTATGTCATATTGATGCCACATACATAATATAATATGCTYGTCATAGGCGCAACTAGACCTCTAAAACGTGGGGTGCTATACTATTAAAAACATACAATTGATGTTATTTCATTATAATTATAATAGTTAGATCTAAAATATCAAGGGGTGCTAAAGACCTTTTTCACCYCCCTAGTTGCGCCAATGATGCTTGTAATGAATATCATTTTGTGAAAAAATTGTTTGATTGATTAAATTGAAAAACAAAATTTATATTTTATACAATTATTAATATATAATAACATTTTTTGCCTATTTTATGTTTAGAGGATTATTAAGCAGTGTCCAACATTGTGCTGAACTGGTTATGTCAACAGACCGCCAAGAGCCGATACAAAAATGTTTTCGCTCATTAGAATATATTTTCAAATTCGTTATTCAGTCTCGTCTATTATTTTCTCGTGCAACTGGTGGCCAGTTTGAAGATAGTTTTCGTTATGATGTACATCGTGTATTTGCTTCATTGGACAAAATGTTATGTTCATCTTTTGAAATGATTTTACCTACTCAGGTWAACAAAAAATTATTATTTATAATTATTTAAATTAATGTATAATATGTTRCTGGAKACTATTGTTCTTCCTTATAGATTGCATTATTACAAAGTGCAAGTGCTGTATTTGATCAATTAGTTCAAGTATTACCAGTCATCGAGGTAGCTAAACTTGGAGTTTCCATGTTAGATTGCTTGCCATCTCGAGATCTACCTACACCATTGACYCAAGCTAAATTAGGCGCTATTAAAGATTTGATAGCTGGAAAGGTGTTCAAAGATGATGGTAATATATTTTAAAATATTACTTTAAATTAAATTTAAATTAATAGTTATCAGGTATACATTCTTATTTTGATACGTCTTATAAACAATATTTTTTTTATTTAAAGATGTTTAAATGGATTAGATTTTGCATATTATATTGTTTTTTTTGTTTTATATATTACATTGTAGAAGCAAGAAATTTATTGTTGATTACAATATGTAAACATCTAAGACATCATATTAGTGCCAGAGAAGAAATTCAACTTTGTACAGATATCCTGGGAGAAATTTTAACATTTCTATTCCACTTAAATCGGTCTAATGACAGTAGCAAGGTCAACATATGTTTTCGACGCGATTTAGAAATATTGAGTCTTAGTACATTAGATATGTTAATTGAAACATGTCTTATTGTAATTGATAGAATGGTTTCTGTATTGGTAAGTTGTTTTTAGCTGTTATTACAAATTAATATTAAATACTATTTTAGAATTGTTTAATTTAAATAAACTGTAMAATTCTATTTTTAGGCTAACATGGTTGCATGYTTAGTTTCTTTATTACAACTGCTTGATGACTATCATTACAAACGACTTTGGGAAGAATTGGGTGATCGTAAACCATTAAAAGATTTCCTATTAAGAGCATTTTTATTGTTTAGACATTTAATCAAACATGATGTATTTCCAACTGATTGGATGGTTATAAAAATGACTACTAACAATGTAATTTTAGCAGCTCTACAACAATTAGCCAAGCCACTAGTATTTTGTTTTTTAGAGACCTGGCCCCATTTTGATTACCAAGTGTGGTCCACTTATTTTAAATTAGCTGTAGCATTTCTTACTCAACCAGCTCTTCAGTTAGAAACATTCACCATTGTAAAACGAACAAAGATTATTGAGAAATATGGTGATATGAGAGTACTGATGGGATATCAAATACTGTCTGTATGGTCTAAACTTGGTAAAATATAATTTTGATTAAAAAAAACTCCAATAAACTAAATTATAATTTAATAGGCGACCACAAGATAAATTTCATACCATCCATGGTGGGACCATTTCTAAAAGTGACTTTGGTACCAGAAGCTGAATTGCGTAAGGCAACACTTCACATATTTTTTGATATGATGGAATGTGAACAACGAGCTCGAGGAAATTTCAAAGAAGTCGAATCAGAACTGATTGACAAATTAGATTATTTGATTAGTGAAAACAAAGGTGACGATGAGTACAGACAACTTTTTAATACTATGTAAGTTTTTATGGTTTTTAAAAATGTTATCAAAGTAAATTAATTGATATTATAGACAATGTTTTTGTATATTATGCTGCATATAGGGAAAATTTGAGTATAGTGTAAGTTTAATGAAACTTAATAAAAAAAACAAACTTATCTACATTTTGTTTTTTGTATGATTTTATAGTCTATTAGAAAGAGTACATCAAGAAGAACAGGATGGTAGTTGGCAAGAAACGGGTTCAGTGTTCATTCATTCTGTTACACGTTTATTAGAAAGACTATTAGATTATAGGAGTGTAATGCGTGGTGATGATAATCGTGACAAACGTATGTCCTGTACAGTGAACTTGTTGAATTTCTACAAAAACGAATTTGATAGAAAAGAAATGTACCTAAGATATATTTACAAACTTCATGATTTGCACGTTTCTGCTGATAATTTTACTGAGGCTGGTTTTACACTTAAACTTTACGCTGATCAACTGACTTGGTCAGATGGGCCAGTATTACAAGGTGATCCAGCAACTTCAATTTGTCAATGGCAAAGAAAAGAACAGCTATATCATGAAATCATACAATACTTTGATAAAGGAAAAGTAAGTTGTGTRAAAACATCAAAAATTAAACTATTTTATTTTATATAATTATTGTTACAGTGTTGGGAAAAAGGATTACCTTTATTAAAAGAGTTATCAGATTTCTATGAAAAACGATTATTTGATTATACTAGATTAAGTGCAGTATTGAAAACACAAGCCAAATTCTGTGACAATATTCTTACTCAATTGCGACCTGAACCAGAATATTTTAAAGTTGGATTTTATGGACAAGGGTTTCCTCTTTTTGTTCGGGTACATTTTTAATTTATTYATTAATATTTAAACATCTTAAATATTTTCATATTAATTGCAAATGATKCTTTTGCAGAACAAAGTCTTTGTTTATCGAGGTTTAGAATATGAACGCATGGAAGCTTTTACTCAACGATTRCAAACTGAATTTCCAACTGCCCAACTTTTAACAAAAAATAGTCCTCCATCGCAGACAATTTTACAGTCTGATGCTCAATGTATGTTATATTTATTGTTAATAAATTATAAAGATTTAAATTTAAATTTACATTTCAGATATCCAGATTTGCAATGTAAAACCATTTCCAGATATTGGTCCGCCTTCTTCCGACAAACCTTTAGCTATGATTCCTGAAAAAGTTGCACGTTTTTATGAAGTTAATGATGTATGTACTTTTCAATTGGACAGACCTATGCACAAAGGTCTGGTAGATCGAGATAATGAATTCAAAAGTCTTTGGCTGGAACGTACTATTYTGATTACCAGTGAACGTCTGCCTGGTATACTAAGATGGTTTGAAGTTATAAGTACAACAACCGAGGAAGTGCCACCAATTAAATTTGCTTGYGAAACTATAGATTCTGTTAACAAAAACTTAAAACTCATAATTAATCAATACACAAACGAACCTAAAAGAAACATTAATCCATTAAGTATGAGACTTCAAGGAACAATTGATGCAAATGTTATGGGTGGCATATCTAAATACCAGTCAGCATTCTTTTCTCAAGACTTTGTTCAAAATAATCCTCAATATTATTCACACGTTTTACATTTAAGCTCATCCATAAATCATCAAGTAGGATAATACATTTCCCCTCAAATTTAATGTATGCAATTATATTTAACTCGTTAATTTTTCTAGATTGAAATAGTAGAAAATGGGCTGTTAATTCATGGTCAATTGGCACCGCCTGAAGTACAGCCTCTTCATCATCGTTTAGTGGAGCGGATGATACAACTGAAACAGAACTTGAGAGCCCCACCTCCACCAGAAAGCATAATTAAGTATGAATAACTAATAACATTAAATTAATTATACAAAAATACAAATAAAAAATAACAGTATAACTAATTTATAATAATTGTTTTAGTACTCCATTACCACCAATACCATGTATTCCAATTGATAATAATTTCCCATTCCGTTCTACTGAAGAGTATACTAATACCGTAACTTACTTTGATGAACGACGTGATGAATACGAAGATATATATAGCAAAACATTTGATCTACCAGATGCATGTGCTCCAGTAGTTCCACATCGAGAAAATCGAATTAAATCTGAAGGATCCTTACCAAACAATAAAATGAAGTAAATAATTCAAAATATGATATTTTTTTCATCAAATTACTGTAAATTATTGTGGTTATTTAGAACTGATCCAAAATCGAATACTTCTTGGAAACCAGGAAGTCCCAATTTACAAAGGCACTCTATAGACAGCAGTGTGAGAAATTCATGGCCACTAGAAGATAGTTCTCCACCACCATTACCTCCAAGAGGTAATATTTTTATAAAGTGTTCAATCATTCAATTATTCAATTATTCATTTATTCATTTTTAGCCCCAGAAAGAAGAATCAGTGATGCACCTCCAYTACCAAGAAGATTACCTTTGCGCCATGTATGTAATGTTTCTATTGTAAWTTTAGTTAAAAATGTTTACACTTTTATTATTTGATAATATTATTTTTCATTTTAGGATTCTGAAATTACTGATTTAGATACTCCAGTGTTGCGTGATTCAGGCTACTCAGAATCTTTACATTCAGCATCATATGAAGAATTTGTGTTACCTACAATCGATAAGCATAAAACCCCACCTCCATTACCGCCCAAAAATACACAATCTCAACTTAATTCTGAGCCAAATGGTATAAAATAAATATCTAAACTCTTTAAATGATGTACCTTTCTTATAAATTTTGTTTAATATATTTATATTTCAGAACTCCCGATTTTGGAAAATTACTCTGTGCCTGGAACAATGAGACGCTTAGAATCCAGCCCCTAGTCAAATACAAGACTCTTATTTTAGAACTGGTGCCATTATATGCATAACTGTAACTATTAGTTAATATGAATTAAGTTATTCTTAAATTATTTTTATACTGCATTATTGCATTAATGAGTGTGTTTGTGATTTTTAATTTTATCATAGTATGTATTTTATAAGTTCTTTTTGTGACTAAAGTTAAAAATTAGACTGTAATTTGATCAGTGTTATGATGCGTGTGTATGAGCATTAAGTAATGAGCAATGAGCATTACTATTTATTCCTATCAATCCTGTCCGATTAGCCATTTTCATTTTTCATATACCTAACAATTACATATTTTATTCTATATGGTATTTAGTATTTACTGGATGACCATCAGAAGACAATATTTTTCATCTTTTTTAATAATATATAGAACATGTATGGTTTTTTTTCCATTTTTAAATATTAATTCTCATTACTCATATTTAATTTTAATGTATACATTATTTTTATTAACTTCTAAAAATTAAAATTTTTAGTTCTTAAAATTTAACTGTTGACCTAAAATATTTTTATAATATTATTATACAACGGTTTTAGAGGAAGTCCATCATACAT